ACAAAAAAAGCATCCAAGGAATGACCAACCTCCATTCCCCAGTGTCAGCAGCCAGCAGAGCTGTGTATGATGGACTGCAGATCCCCAAGGAACTTGAGAGCAATCTGGTTACTGCTGACTACCTCCCTTCTTCCCCTCCCAAAGCTTTAAGTCACCTACTATGGAACTCCAGTTGCTTCTCCCCTTTTCCTGCCTCCACCTAGGTTGGGCTAGTGCGTGTAAGTGTCCACCTACCCAGGATTTTTGGTTGTAGCTGTGTTGGTCTAAGGACATATGCAGGCAAGGTATTTTGAGTAGATGTGATATCTTTTATTAGACCAATTGTATAGTTGGAAAAAAGTTCTTGGGAAGCTTTTGGGCACAGTCACCCTTCTTCAGGCATAGGGAGTCTCTGCTGGCCTGAGACTCCAAGGAATGAGTCTCAGACCAGCGGAGACTCCCTATGCCTGAAGAAGGGTGACTGTGCCCAAAAGCTTCCCAAGAACTTTTTTCCAACTACTCAGTTGGTCTAATAAAAGATATCACATCTACCCAAAGAACCTTGCCCACCTACCCAGGAGGGCACGCAGTTCTCAGGGGAGCTTGGTGTTGCTAACCACCTCTGACTGTGCTCCTGCTGCACCTCCTGTTTGTGAATGAACCAAAATGCTTGTGTGGGAATCCAGTTGAGCCCTCGCTCCTTCATGAACTAGCCCTGCACTCCCTATCCACCTCTCTCTTGCACTTACAGTATTTGCATCCTGTTTCAGTGCAGCTAATGCTGCAAGTGCTGTCCTAAACTGACCAGTCAGCATCTGGGATTACCTTCACCTTCGGGCAACCCCTCCTTCCTTCTTCAGTTACTCCTGACTTGTCACAGTCCCACCAAGTCCTTTCAGCCCCATGCTGCCCCCGCAGTGAATGGCTGGTCCTCAGAGCCACTTGGGATCATTGGGGAAGGCTCCATGGAAGCTGAAAAAAATGTTGTTTCCCAAATGCATGGGGTAAGCATGTGTCCCAGATTGGCCAAAATAGTCCCAGATTTTGGAAGCTGGTCCCAGCCAGCTGGTGAAAATTAAAACGAGCATCTGGGGCACGGGCATGGAGGCAGATTGGCAGGTAAACTGTGAAGTAGGAATCCCTATTACCACTAACTGTTACTTCACAGGTGATTGTTAACACCTGTGAAGTAAAGCAGTGGTTCTCAGCTTTGGTACCTTACATCCCCCCTGCCGATCAACGCAGCAAAAGCGAAACCGGAAGTCCCACTGTGGCAATTCCAGTTTCGGTGCCGCAAGCCGAGTCCCACTTTTTCCACTGCGACCTGAAGCAAAGCATTCCTGTGTGGGGCCTACCTCCCTATCCCCTGGCACACTGATGCTGGGAAGTGAAAGCCCTGGCACACTGGACACGGCGGGAAGGGCAGCAGGTGGAACTTCTGGTCCGAGCAGGCAAAGACCAAAATGCAGCACCCGTGTACCCCTTGCCTGTGTCTCGCGTACCCCTAGGGGTACGCGTACCATGGGTTGAGAAACACTGAAGTAAACAACACTGGGTCACTAACGACCATCGACTCCCTGCAGCCGGCAAGACAGGGGCAGGGGCGGGGGCAGGCAGGTAAGCAAGCAGCATCCCAGATTTCACATTGTCCCATATAGTCACTCTACAAATGCAGACCTGGTACTGACAGGACATAAACCTGACAAAAGCCATGGGCCATGTGTGTGTGAGCAAATGGCCATGTCCCCTTCCCACAACTGCTCACTTGTCCTTGTGTATGTGTTATCCTTCCTAACGTGCCTGAGCAGAGGGATCTGGGGAAACACCTCTCTCAGGAAGACCTTCATTTCTCACTGTACCCATTTTTTAAAACCCCCCATGTGTATGCATACATGTACACACTGGCAGGCACAAGGAAAAGCATGATCTAATGGTTAGAGCAGTGAGTCCAGACTGTCTCTATCACTTTTTTCCTGTGTGGTCTGGGGCTTGGTTCTTACGCTAAGGATGCCCTCTCTGTATGAAGGGGTGATTCCTTCCTCACAGGGTGCTGAAAGGATTAACATAAACTTGCTTCTCAAGCTGTCAGAAATAGAGAAGCGTGGCCTATGCATTGCTGTGATAGCTAACCCCTCCCATTCTTTTCTTTGCTGTGTGTGAATCCGCAGCCAGCTTCTGTCCCTCTCTCTACCTTCTCTGTAGCCACATCTATTACCTCTCACTGTGAAGCTGCGGTTCTGAAAGTGAAGCTGCCAGCCTGAAAACATGGGGAGGTGGGGGAGGGGAAGGGGTTTTTTTTTTTCTTTTCTTCATTTTGCTTCACATGCCCCAATTTACTGAGGTCACTTTAAAGAAAAAACAAGATAATTCTCTCTGCCAGGCACCTGACAGGGTCCACTGGCGGGATGGAGCCCTTGTCTCAGTGGTGCTCTGAGCGTGGCTTCCACACATTTGGCTGCATCCCTGTTCTGGCTGCTGAGAATTTGGGCCTCGCTACCTGGAACCCAGAGGATGAGGCTAGCTTGGGGAAAGCCCCTTGGCACACCTGGCTGAGATCCGGGAAACTTTGGTATGGCTTCGAGGACTGGCTGAAGGTGGCCTGGAAGGGTGCTGGGGTGGAGGGTGCAGAGGAAGTTGTTTCTGTCCTCCACACTGGCTCATCCAACGTGGTGGCAGACCGGGGAGCGAGCACTGTGGGAGCCAGGCTGCCTGAAGTTGGTATGGGAGCGGGTGTGGAGAACCGCCGGATCTCATAGGTTCTGCCTGTTTGCACTGGTGCCTGTTGGGCTGGGGTGAAAGACAAGCTGGACTGCTGGGCTGGCTGGCTTGGGGTATTCTGTGTACCAGGGCTTGTGGGCTCCCCGAAACAGAACATGGCTGACTTTAACTGGTAGGGCTGGTGACACATGAAATCAATGGCTTTGATCCCTGATTTCTGGCTGGGTGCTTTTTTCACTTTGCTCTCTGCTTTGCTAGCCTGAGACTTGCTGGCTGCCAGGGGATAGAAGGGTGAATGCATTGGGTTGTAAGCTATTGGGGGCGGGGCACGGATGTTGGGTGAATACTTCCAGGATGAGGGTAGAGAAGGGGTAGGTGAGGGGGTCCGGGGCTTGGACTCTGGCTTTGCTGTCTCCACCACAAACTTGTCCATGCGGCTCTGTCGCTTGGCAAAAAGCTCTGCACCCTTGCCCTTCAGTTGCAGCATGTCGTGGGCCCCATTTACCAGCCTGGCACCTTGCTGGTGAGGTTTTGGAGCCACTGGAGGAGGGGTCTTAAACTTGCGCCCTGTGGATTGCATGAAGTTGCAGGCCTCAGCGCCCAGACTGAGAAAGTCCTCCTCAGGCCCTGACTCGAAGCCAGCCCCAGGGGCATCACCTTTGGGTTTCTCATCCAGGTTCTGCACCAGAGACAGAAGCTCAGGGTTGGGCGAATTCTTCTTCTTCTCCTCTACACTGCTGAACATGGGCTTCTTGTTGCCCCGTCGGCGAGCCTCCTGCAGGATGCCTGTGCGGGGAGCTGGTGTGGCGACCCTCTGCTCCCTGAAAGTTAGGGGCTCTGAAGCAGGCCGTGGAATAGCTGGTGAGGCAGCAGGGTATGGCTGCCTTGGTAGGGAAGAGCTACTTGGCATGCTGGGCTGCAGTGCTGTAGGGCTGATATATAAGGAGGAAGAAGCTGTGTCATGTGCTTGTTGCTGGGGTGTTGTAGCTGTTGTATCCCCTGCTGGCTTGGAGGGAGTTGAGAGAAATATGGAAGCACTGGAGGTCCTGGCTGCATTTGTAGGTGTCTTAGGCTCAGGAACACTTCCTCCTGCTTGCTGTGGTCCCAGCAGCGTGGTGGGCCTACTTGGTGCTGGAATATACAGAGATGTCAAGGAGCTCACTGGAGCACTGTGGGACATTGGAGCAGGGAGGGCAGCTCCTGGTGATGCAGGTGAGAAAGGTGGAGCTGCTAAGCTCTGTCCACCCAGACTGTCACTGCTTTTCCTGGGGGCAGAAGGCCTGAAGATGACAGAGGAAGTCATAGGGCACTGCCCTAAAAAGCCAGGGGTGAAGGGCCGTGCAGATCTATTGAAGATGCCTGCTGAGCTTGGAGAGGGCTGGGCACCTTCTCCTCCAATGGCGGCTGGAGAAGGAGGCTGGAACTGAGCCGGGGTAGAGAGTGGCTGCTTGCTGGACACCTGCATTGCTTCCATGTGGATGCTCAATGGGACCTTCTCAGCCATCTGTGGGGGCAGTGCATCTCCATTCACTATCCTCTGCTGTGACTGGGCAGCTGGCGGGGGCTGGTGGCTCTCTGGCTTCTGGACTGGGACATGCTCTACAGTGTACTTACCAGCCCTCTGTCTCTGCTGCTCAAATAACCGGGCCCCTTTGCCTGAGGCTTCGCTCAGGCCTTTCTGTGCCTGCTCCTGCTGCTCAGACTCTGATTTGGGTTTTTCAATGTCCAGGTAGGTGTTATCCCAGTCTGAGTGATTGGTTTGGCTTCGGGCATCTGAGAAGCCTTCCTCATCAAACTCCGACTCACTGGTTGGGAAGACACCATCCTCCTCCTCATAGCACCGGTCTTCGTCCACGCTCCCGAAGCTGACCAGGGTGTATTTCTTAGCCCTCTGCCTGCGCTTCTTGAACATCAACACTCCCTTGGAGTGGGGGTTGGGTGCATCCGTCAGCAGGGACGCAATGGTTCTGCATTTAGTTTTGGCTTCTTTCACGGTCTTCTCTTGCATGCTCTCATGGCGGTGGAGCTCTACAGGGGAAAAGAGTAGGCATGGTCAGAGCTCTGTAGGGTTTACAAAGGCTTGGCTGCAACTTGCCTGACTGTGTGCCAGTGTCTATACCCTGAGAACCAACCCCTAACTCACCACCCCATTGCTAACCAAGTACACACACCATGGGACAAGTTTCCCTAGGTGCTGCCAGGGACCTTTGCCTTCTGGACAGCCAGCTTGTTTATGGAGTCAGGGACAGTTCAGCTCTGTTTCCGGCTCCAACTGGGGCTCTCTCTCAGTAGAGACAGCCATGGGTGAATTCCATGGGGGTTTGTGGTACAGATACCCATTCTTGAAGAATACTTAGTTACTTGTCAATACATTTCACGTGGAGACTAAGTCCCTGTGTTTGCAATTCCTGCTAGCATAAGGTAGACTCCACAGTGCACCAGTTCAGGTCTGCTGGGTGAAGCAAGAGACAGGACGCCTCTTGCTGAAGTCCTGCCCCATAGAGTATTCCTGAGAGCAAGCAGTCCCTGTGCTCCCCAGAGTACATGGGATGCAGACTGCTTTTGTGAGTAGGCCCTGCATAGCTGTACATAGCCTGGGGCACTTCTTGCTCAGTCCTCTATGTGGGGGGACTTCTCCTGAGTGGGTCACACAGCATAAACCAGGGAGCCCTGTGCGCTGTAGTGATGCTGTGTATGCACATTCACTGCCCATACCAACAGTGCAAAAGGGAGAGCCAAGAGCCCCCTAAGAACAACAGTTTGATCTCTTCTGTTGTCCCTTGCCTGTGCCCCATGCTCTGCCAGTAACAAGGGAGTTTGCATAGGAGCAGGAATCCCAGCTGCCTGCCCTTGATAACCGATTGCCTAGGCCAGAAAGAATCCTTTTACACAAGTTCTCCCATAGCCTTTGCAGTTGGAAAAGCCAACACCTGTTGGGACCTTGGCCTAGACACACAAGCTAATCATTTTCCACCACCTCTGCCAACCTGATGACCAGCAAAGCCCACAGGACTCTATGTTCTCCACCCGGTGCAGGACAAGGAGGAGATGTACCAGGTCAAAGGTGAAACCAAGGGCAGCTGCTGGCACAGGGTCCCTGGACACTGCCAGAGACTCATCAGCCAAGTGACTCTGAAAGCAACATAAATCCCACAGGAGAAAAACAACTCTGGATCATCCCTCATTCCTTTTACTTGCTCCTGGTCCTTTCTACGGGAGAAAATGCCTTTTCCTTGGGTGTCTGTACTAGCACCTCAACTCATCCAGTGTGACAGAAGAGACCACAAAGATACCTGCCGTAAGCTTCCACTCAGTTGTCAGGAAATTGCCTAGCACTTTTCCCTGTCCTGTATCTCCAGTGCTCCCTGGCACAGTCCTGCTCAGGCATCTCCAGCTCTAAGGAGGGGACAAGAGAGGGCAACACTCATGGCCAGTCCCCATCAGCATATGCAGGAGAGCACCTATTTGCTCATCCCTCACAAGATCTCCCCAGGGGCCACTCTCCAGAGTAGGGGTGGGCAATTATTTTGGGCGGAGGGCCACTTACTGAGTTTTGGCAAGTCATTGAGGGCTGCATGACAGGCAGCCAGGGGCAGATAAGTATTAATTTTTTTAATTTTTTAGGGGCCCCACAGGCCAGATAGAATGGCCTGGCAGGCCACATCTGGCCCACGGGCCGCATTCTGCCCACCCTTGCTCCAGAGGGTACTGTATCAACAGGGAGCAACAGCTGCGGCAAAGTTATCTCATGGTTGGGGGGCAGCAAGGGGTAGGAGCTCACCCATTGCTGAGACTGTTGTCTCGGGTTTTTTAAAAGAAGGGCTGAGATCCCTTGGGCTGTAACCCCCCCACATTGCACGGGTGACAGAGCTGTAGCATGTGTCTTTGTTCTTGCCTGCTCCAGGGCACTCCTCTCCCCTCCCTCCCTGCCACAGCATATCCTATAATCCCACTCCTGCCTGAAAACAGCCATGGATCTGAGTGAGCATCCTGCTGGGAAGATTCAAATAACTACAAAGAAAGACCCATTGCAAGGCCTCCCCTGAAGTCCATGGGAGGGTCAGAGTCATTTCATAACATATGTTACAGTTCTGAGCTGGCTACTGGGATGGCTACAGCTAACTATTTCCACACAAAGATCCAGCAAGGGAAATTACATCTGTTCCCCCCTCAGCATGCTAGATCCAGCCTTCTCTGCCTGTACACCAATAGCTGGAGCAAAAACATGACTGTTACTGACAAAAGAATTAAGAGTCCTCCCCCACTCTTTAGAGGGTGCATCGTGGAATCAAGCAAGACTCATTGTAATGCATGTCCTTGACTCAGACTCAGGGCTATTCGTGAACATCCTCCCTTTGGTTTACCCCTCAGTACATGTCCATGAGGGAGTGGAGCCAACACAGCAACCTTCCCAATAGGAGTTTACCCATACCAGAAGTATGGCACACAGTAGGAGAGAGCAGAGGGAGATTCAGGCACCCGCTGCCCAACACTCACTCCATCTCAGCTCCCCTGGCTCCAGCTCTACTTCTAAACCTTTGAGGAGGAAGAGCAGTGACACAGAACCTCAACCATCCCCACCAAGCTCAGGAACATGGATACTTTGGACTGGGAGCGGCTCATGGGAAGATCTCAGGCATTGAAGAGGCAGGGGCTAAAGAGCTGTACTTTCATATCAGCTATCTAGGCAGGCCTTGGGGGCAGCAGAGCCTCATAAGAGGTCTCTGCTCCAGAGTTTGGAGCTGGCAAAAACCCAGTTTTAAAGTTTTAAAGGCAGCCAGGGTCTAGGTTGTAATGTCTCTTGTACTCTCAGTAATAATATCCAGAGCTTGCCCAGGCACAACTGTGCCCCCAGGCCACCAGTGTCTTGCATCTTTCAAATAGTTCAGCCTCCTCCAAATAGTTCAGCCTCCTCTGCATTGGCTGTAACTAGGCTCCCTGTGCTTTGAGACTCTTTTGCCTTCAGCAGCTGACTACTCAGTTCCTGGTGGCTTCCTTCCCTATCCCCCACTGCATATTCCCCAGCTCACCAAATAGGAAAAAAGCACTTTTGCATTTTTTTTTACCTTTCAAAATCTCAAATCTCACTCCCTTCCCTTGTAATTGAGCCGCTAAGTCCAACAGCAATTTGAGAAAAATGGGAGTGGGAAATGCTACTCAAGTGATTTGCTAAAGTTCAACTGGAGAGCAGAGGGAGGAAGGGAGAGAAGAAGGGAAGGAAGGAAGGAAGTCTGTACCTGCATAGGGCTGATCCAAGGTCTTGAAGGCAGTGTCGGGGCCTGGAGACCCAGGCATGTCACAAAGCCCGTTTAATGAAAAGCTCTCCATAAAGAGAGAGAGAGAGTGGGAGAGAAGCAGAGCAGCTCCCTCCTGGAGCAAAACCAAAACCCTAAAGCAGCCAAGCCCTTTGCTATCAGCTCTGCAAGCCTTTTAAAGCCTCTCTTTTGTCTCCTAGGCATTCCTGCCAAAAGTCATGAGGTTACTCTCTCTATTTTTATCTCTCAGACTTCATCACTAGGCAGTGTGATGGACACTGTCATCTGCCACTTAACTGCTCTCCCATTTCCACCCCCCTCCCTCTGTACCCTGGATTTAAAAATAAGCGACTGCTCCCTACCACTATACAGTGGTACCAGTGTTAGGGAGCAGCACAAGACTCAGACAATGAATGATGTTCCCAGCCCCTGAATGTGCCACTTCCTTAGCCAAAGTACTGGTTGATTTCCAAACCCTTGAGGCTACCACTGCTCTCCTGTCTGGATAAATAGAGCAGGAGAAAGTACACCAGAGGGTGGGCAATCTCTCTTTACCCCAGGCATGTTAGGGACTGCATGGTTCTCAGATCAAGACAAGGAGAAAGAAAAGTGGGGAAGAGAGACCTCTTCCTGGGTGTACTGTATCATCTTTCCTAAGACATGGTCTAATGTCTTAGGAGAACCAGTCCTGGATGGGGATCACTAGTGAGTGTCAGTATTGAGTTACATTGACTGAGATTATTGAATGCTTATATTTTAATGGCTTAGTAGAGCGGGGGGCGGAGCATTAGTTGAAAAGGCAGTGGATGTTACCACCAAAGTTAAGGAGCACGGGTGTGTCCATGTGAAGGACTAAGGAATGGTCCTTCACATGGACCTTTACCTACATAGACAGAGCTGTGTGTGCAACATGCCAGCACTGGACAGAGAGTGGGTGATGCAAGGCATGAGTGTGTTAAAAGAAGGACATGGGGACTCGGGAGTGGGTAGTGGGGTGGGTGCAGAGTTGCCTCCGGATGTTGTGGAAGCTGACAGTTTAGCCAGATTCAAAAAAGGTTTGGACAAATTCTTGGAGGAAAGCAGCATAAGTAGCTATTGAGAATGGGAGTGAGGGGTACAGCCTCCAAATTAGAACTTCCTAGACCTTACGTTGGAGTCTGCAAGTGAGAGAGAAACAGTGGAAAAAAACCTTAATCATACCCAGTCCACTCTCTCAGCATCTACACTTTTCCAGTGTATGACACAGAATAGTGGGCAAGATAGTGACATTGTCATGTGATCTTCCCTTTAGAGCAGCCAGAGAGGAAATAGGCAAAATATCTGTAAGTGTCTTGGCTCCACAGGAAAGGTCTGACATGGATCCGTTAGCCACTGCCTTCTTGCAGTGAATAAGCCTTCTGCAGCTAAAGAACACAGTTACTCTCTCCTCAGAGTGAGATGTAATGAAGATGTTTCTACCTCTGCCTTAATCAATACTTATACATCCAGGAAGAGTTCTATAAAACCTATAAAGTTCTATAAAACCAAAAGAGTTCTATAAAACCTAATAGAGAATAATAATTTGTTACACCCTGTAAACAAATGTCTGTGTTTCTGTAGCAGCGGTATCATCTTCTACCATGGTCAAACCCAATTGTCTGCAAGTTCCAAAGAAAGGATATGCCTTACTACTACAGAGTAAATGTTTTGGGGGCCATTGCTATAGAAACCTTTTGGTTAATTTCTATAGAACTCTCTTCTTTGTCCCTCCTAATTCCTGTAGCAATGTTCCCT